ACAGGACATTGAAAATAAAGTCTTATTTAAAATCGGTAAAAAAATCAAATTTTATTACCGTTATGTTGATGATATTTTGATGGCGTTGGATAGAGATGCATTCCAGAATGTGGTTGAAATTTTCAATTCCTTCCATAATAGATTGAGATTCACGGTTGAACCGGAACATGATAGAAGCATTAATTTTTTAGATCTCAAAATTTATATTAATAATAATAAGTTAATTTTAGATTGGTTTCATAAGGATACTTATTCAGGCAGATATCTCTTCTTTTTTTCTAATCATCCTACTTGTCACAAAATTGATACAATATATAGTTTAATTGATAAATCAATTCTGTTATCACATCCAACCTTCCATCGGAAGAACATCAATCTTAACATTAACATCTTATTAAATAATGGCTACCCTCTTCCGTTCATTTTCAAATACGTGTCCGTTAGAATAAAAAAACTTCTTTTTACTAAATCAAAAAATCATAATACGGATAACGGTTCAATTGATGTTGAGTCAAAGGATAAAAAATACATAGCTGTTTCTCACATAAGGTTTATCTGAAAGTGTTTGTAAAGTTTTTAACAACACGGAATATTCTACGGGTTTCAAATATTTCAACCGCTTGAACCATTTCATTAAGGTACACAAGGACACTACTCCAAAATTAAAAGAAAATAATGTGGTTTATAAAATTAATTGTAATGACTGTGACGCTTTTTATGTGGGACAGACAAAGAGACATCTTGAGACTAGATTAAAGGAACATAAGAATAATGTTAGACAGCCTTTCAAACCATCGGTCATCACTGACCACATTATTAATGAAAATCATTCCATAGGAGGGGACGAAATTAAAATACTTGACCATGAGCCCCATTACTTTAAAAGATTGATCTCGGAAATGATTTTTATCAAAAAACAAAAAAATAGATTAAATAAAATTGAGGACTTATCAGCTTTAAATAATATGTATTTTCCGTTATTGGATTCCTTATGATGGTTTGTTTGTCTCACGTTGTACTTGTTGTTCTTGGTCTATTTATATTGCGGTGAGAATAACGTATCTTCTCATTGTCTTACTATCTGCCGTTGTCGCAACAATGTTTTTTAATTTTAATACTAAAACTCGAGTCTGTGTGGAGGTTTCAAATTTTAGGAGATTTGGTAAGATTTTTTACTAATGATTTATTTTAATTGTAACGGTTCTTTACTTTTTGCGCAATTTTTTCTTTATTCATTCTTTTATGTTTTATATGTGTAATTTTATGTATGTAATTTTTATCAGAAACCAAGCTGTCACACAACACACGTTGACTTCCTATATTCGAAATGCAATCACCATATTTTGAATTTTAACACTTCGTGACTAAAGAAATGCAAGCAAGCATCGAAACGTCTCACTTTTAGTCGTTCTCTTAATAAATGCGACTTATCGACATTTTTCTACTTTTTTGTTTTTTTAACTGATCTATCATCCGCAGTTCAGCTTGTATTAGGCTGATTATTGTATCTATGGTTTTCTAATTCAATATTTTTCTTTTCTAAGAATAGTTTTTTGTTTGATTTAAGGTATAAATACCTTCCTTCATATTTTTTGACATTTTGATACAAGAGTTTATAAATATAAGTCTAATAAATAATATAATTAAAGCTATATTTTTAAATTTTATTATTGATTCTGAAGATATAATACTGTGAAAGGTTTAAAATTAAGACTGGTAATAATAAAAACATTTATTTTTATTTATATGTCTTTTATTTTTGGTGTTAATAAAAATGAAACTAAGATTACCTAATATGAGAGTATCTCATATTAGGATCAGCTAGTAGCTATTTCTTATTAGGAGACCTTTTGATTTTGATACAAAAACTGACTTATTTTAAACCTATGTATATTAAAATTCCAACGAGATATAACTTATTGAAGTAGAATTCCTAAACTACATAAAATGACGATTAAAAACAGTATATAAATACTTTTCTAATTGCATATATTTTGGAAATAATTAAGAAAATGTAAATGGTATTTTATAATAGGCATCTTTACCCTAAGCTTTGTCAAGTAAATCTAATTAAAAAGATTAAAACTAAACTAAGTAAATACAAAAACTTGAACTGGTCGCATAACTTATATATTTTTATTAACATATTAAGAATAATTTCTGACAATAATTTGCAAATTTTAATTTTAAACATATAATTTGTTAATCTTGATTTTTAAATACTTATAATATTTACTAATTATAAAAATTTATGAGTTACAATGCGATCCAGGCACGCCAAGTTTTTGTTTGTCATTTTAAACTCAATTCGTTTAGTTCAAAGCCTAATTTCAAAACAACAATGTCAAATATTTCGATCAATTTAGCACTTTTAAATTCAAAATTAGCAATCTATGTAGTAGACGTAGACTAAAGAAGGTCAGAAAGACCTTAAGAACGGTTACAAGTTGTTTAAAAAACGCAAGAACAATGGTCGACATTAAAAAAAGTGGAAAGTGAGTAGTGATTGTTATTAGAAATAAGAAATTTAAGTCTGCAGAGAATAATTCTATGTATGAAAGGAATAGGATAAGAATTTTCAAAAAGGATATTAATGATATAAGAAAGATTTTTTCGTGAAATTTTGGATAGAAGACTTTATCCACAAAACTCATGACAATGCCAATCTTATGGGCAATGGAATAGTAGGAAAAGAAATTAAGAAATCTTTCCGAGAAAATAAATTTACGAAACCAATCAAATTCTAAACGATTTTCATTCACAATAAGTGATATGTCCAAAAAATTAATAGTATTATTGTCCGAAAATTCTATCGTAAATTGTAATCTTTTATGAACAGAATTAAGAACTTTTAAAATAGAAAAAAAATGTAAAGAAGAAGCCGCCAATATGATATCGTCGACATATCTAAAATAAAAAGGAGGGACTGGGAGAAAAGAAATGGCTCTATCTTCACATTGAAATGTTTTATATAATAAATTTTGATGTGTTTTGTACACGTAAGAATTAAAAAAAGATTTTCTTACAAGCAGAAATTGTTAGCTGCCTTTGTGATGCAACTTTAAAAAGTCCTATAACTAAAAAGTTTTAAGACATTACTAAATGTAAAATTTTTAAAAACTTGTAAAATAAACCAAGAAAATTGCCAATTAAAAGTCGAAAAGTCTGGATAAAGAGAAATGAAAATGAACAACCAAAGAGAGAGCGTTGTAAATTTAAAATAATTGTCTTACATTAGTTTCAGGAAAACTTTACTGATATTACGTTCAGATTTAAGGAAAGAGATAAGTTAATGAAAGAACATTATTGTGCTACGTGAGACATGACATGTGAGGTACCGCTGTAGTAACCCAATGATGTAATTTCCCACATTAATACCCCAAATGAACAAACATCGCTTAGAGAAGTAAATATTCCGATCACCAAAGATTCCGGTGCCACCCAACGAACAGGAAACTAACCTTCTCTTTTTTAAAACATGATTCAAACTAAAACCTAATTTTCTGATTCAAATTGTTCATTTATAGAATGTGTGCAAAATGAAAAATGTTCATTCATCTCTTGCTTTATATAAATGAAAATAATTTATTTATATTTAATATTATTCAAAAAGAAAATGTACAATATTATTATGATAAAAAATAAAAAGCAGTTTTAAATGAATTCGCTTTTTTAATAATTAATTTTTTAAATAATTATATTTACCTTGCGATAATAATCATCCTTGTGAATATCTTTAGCTAGATAAAATCTCCAATTTTGATGACACAATTCTCGCAATTTCTCCAAGATACTAAGCAATTACGACACGCTAGATCTCTATGTACGAAACGCAATTCTTCTAAGTAGCAACAGTCTCGCGCAACATCTTCGCACATGGCGAACAAATCCTGCAAACGCAGAGCATGCGAATCTGACAGTTTGCAAATTTCGACAATCTCTTAAATATTTTAACAGATTACCAGTTTCCATCAATTCCAACACTAGTAACAGCGAATCTTCATTTAAACAAACGGCCAACAATCTTAATACATGTTTATGTCGAAAGTGTTCATAAGTCTGACTTCTTCTAAAAATTTCTTCTTCTCATCAGAAGAAACATCTTTTCAAAGCATTTTTATTGCAGCGGATATCTCTGTGCCCGATCTTTCTTACCGTAAGTTCTTTACATTTCCTTGAAACATCTGCGAAATAGTTTACACAAATTTGCTTCCATATTTTATTAAAAAATGTATAGTTTAATATCAAGTAACATCATACTTTATATTAAATAATTCAAAATACATAATAAAGTGCATGTATGTTGTCTCGTCTAAATTTTATATTATAATCTATAATAAAAATTTATGTAATTTATGTTTTTATTAGGAAATGTATGTGTTGTTGATCTAGAAATTAATATCGTGAAAAAATTAATTTTTTTGAATGCACCGCTAACAAGAGGTTTTGTTAGTGTAATTTGTTTGCGTTTGATTTCGGTGATTGCATATTTATCCAGATTATAATGTAACATAGGACTATAAATCTTATTGAATTGAGTGTTTCAACAAGCTACTTCAATAGCTATGTTATAATCTGAAGAACTATAACTTTATTTTATTGTTAATATAAATTTAAAACGAGATAGAACGTTTAGCGAACCACACGCGAATTCGCCGAAAACGCGAAAGTGCAAGCAAAGAGTTTCAACTTTTGAAACGCCTTTGCTTGCTTAACAATAAGATTTGATCGTCACAAAAGTTCATCATGACATTATATAGTCATGTTGCTAGGTGATCTTCTCTCAAATTTCGCTAAAAACGAGTGAATAAAAAAGGCGGCACGCGGACAGTCGTTAATAAATATTAATCAATTACCAGTGCATAGAAGGGCTAGTCGTTATTTAACGCGTCAATTATTAAAAGAAGAATTTAGTATTTAAAGTTTAGCGGAGTACTTAAAATTTAGTACTTAAAGTCTAACGGAAGGAAGAGATTGAGAAAAGAAACCCGAGACTTGTATAGAGTAGCTAAACAGTGCATGTATTTAAAAATATTACAAAAAAAGAAAATAAATCAATTTTGTTAGTAAAAAGGGAAATATTCGACGACCTGTAGTACTTCCTTTATTATTCCTGGCGGTGTCCCACATCCTGTGCCGCTCCAGGCGCAACAGCTAATTCCGTGTCCGTCATTATAAAAGGCAAAATTTCTTCAGTATTATTTTTGCGTTGTCGATATACTGTAATAAAATTTGAATTTAGTTATGTAATAATATCTATTAAATATAATATTTATTAAAAAATTTATCGCTTTTAAATAGTATTTATTAGTTTAACTTTATATAAGTAAATTAATTATTTTCAATAAATCTATAGATATTACAACTGATATATATGTATAATCTACAATTCAAATCAATACGCGCATATATCAAATATACTTACATCTATAAAAGTAACAGACGCAGATTACAATAACTATAACGATGAAACTTAACAACAATGGTAGGTAATATTTTATAGCTAATATTCCAGGACTGCTCGAAATATCACCTATATTACGCAAAAATATAATTTTAATATTTTCGTGCATGTGTGTTTTATTTAAAAACTTATTTCTACTTATAATTTTATTATAAATATTTAATTTTCTAAATTTTGTAGGCCTTTTAATATCCAAGAAAATAAGTATATAATATTAATATACATATTAATATACATATAGCACAGAATATTACAATTACTTTGTGGCAATGTTGCAATATTGCAAATTTCAATGAAACATTATAGAACATCGCAAAAATATAAATTAACAAAATATTTGTTAAATATTAGAAATACAATATTTATATTATAGAAACATCTCAATAATACTTTTAATTATACTTTTAATTTATCTGTAAGAATAATGTAATAACATAATAAATAATATGAGTCGATATAATTCTAAGCTAAAAGCATTACTATTTTTTCTGTTAAAGGATATAGATAATATTTTATATCATTGTTACACAATATATTTAATGATATATTAACATCCAGGTAGCAAAATGACGTCTAAAGACATCTTAATAACCTATTATGACATCTTTAAAACGTTATTAAAATGTTATTCTGTTACCTTTTATAATTTTTAATTTTATATGCATTTTTATGTATTTTTCACATGCAAATATATGTAACGGATAAATGTAATGAATTTTTAAAATATTTAAATAAAATTAAATAAAAAAGAATTAATAATAAATGTATAATTAATTGTTTGCAAATTAATGTTTTTATATTTACCTCATTAGAGTATATAAGAGTATATAAAACTTCTAAAGTAAAAAAAGTGATACGTATAAATATTAAAAATAATTTTGTATCCAAAATATAATATTTTAAGTTATATGATTATGTTTAAGTATAATTTTACAATATATTATTTTAGATATGATGTCGTGGCAAACTTTTTTTATATCAAGCTTTTTAATTATATGCTTTCATATGCTTCTGTGATATTTATCTGTCAGAAACAAAAATACTCTACATGTAATATTATTAGATGACTGCCATAACATTACGTTTTTTTAAATATATTACACTGTATGTTGCTATAATATCTCATTGCAATATTAGACGAGCGGATATCTTAACTTTGTCACAATCTTAAATCAATGACTCAACAGAGTTTCGCAATCGTTTTGAAATATTGCAATGTTTCAATGAAATTGTTCTTCGATATATCTGCAACTATTTGTGCTGTATGGATATCTTCATTTGCTTACCAAGTGTAGAAAAAATAAATCTTTCATCATCTGGCCATATAAAATTTTCCTCATATTCGAGGTATCTTAATATCAAGCGAAACTTGTATAAAGTTCCCGATTGCAAATTTTCGATATGGTACATTACTTCTTTGTTATAACTTATTTTAACATAATTCGTTGTTTGCCACTTTTCTGTTGCAATGTCTTTATACTGTAGTGTAAGAAAAACTGTCAGATTAATGTTTGAAATCCATGAAATGTTCATGCTATTTATGTTGGCTCCGCTTAAAGTAATATTGTTTGGTTCTGAGTATATGTGACCGATCTTGCTTAAACTCTCGTTGTAGAAATCGCTGAAATTAACTGGATACACACGCACATATATCAAGTAATCTTGTACTGGTAGCGACAAGCTAATCTTTGTGAAAAATCTGCCATCTGCCATACGTTTCGGCACATTGATAAATTGTTTGCTCTTTTGTTGCGTGCCGTTCACTAATGTAACTGTCTTCCAATGCACTTCGTAGGTTACGGCCACGCAGTTCAGTTTCTTGAGTGGCATCCAACGAACTACTGCTATAGTAGGCGTCAAAGCTAGAACACTTATGTTTTCTGGTGCATTAAGCTTGCCCGAATTAATTTTTATTGATACCACATTTGAATCGAATGGATTTATTGATAATTGATTAAAATAAAAATTGCTTAAAGTAAACTTCAACTTGTACTCTATAAATGGTGTTAAGTTCTGGATCTCGTAAGATCGCTCGTACGTCTGCACCTTGAATTCTCCAGTTTTATTGAGATTATGGTCTACACAATGGCTTACGGAGATAATATATATAGTAGATGGCAAATTATATTTTTTGCATCCACTCTTTACAATCGGCTCTGGAAGATTTACAATGATGCTGTTTGTCGTTGCAATCACATTTTCAAAATTATAAACTTTTTCGTAAGGTGTCAGACATCTCATTGGAGGATATGGTTCAAAATATTTGTCAAAAGCGTAAATTCTTCGGAAAAAATGTCTAACTGAGTCTGTTATTATCTTTTCAACATGTTCGTCTATATTTACGCTCTTGAGATTTGCGTATTTCTTTTTCGAAACGTAGATTTGATTATTATTAATTTGAAGCCGATTATGTGCTAAAATGTAAATGTTTGTTTTGTCAAACGTCATAGATCCGAGTATGACATCATCACTTATCTTCGTGTGTAAAATCGTATTACACATAGAAAGGTTAGTGTTTGTGACAAGTATGTGAGAAACACCTATCCAGTAAATTAATGGTTCCTCATTATTCATGTTATCAATTATCATATGATTCATTCGAGACGTAGGATGAAATTGGCAAAGGGATGAATTTATCTGATCAATTTGCACGTTTTTTCCATCGAGATGATATTTCATTATATCATATTCATGATTCTCCAAATTGTGTGATATGCGATATAAAATTCTAAAAAATATATAATTATTTTACTCATTATAAAACATTTTAACAAAATTAAATTCTTATATGTGGTAAAAATTCGAAATTCTTATAATTATATAAAAACTTATCATTATTTTTTACTTATGATCTTAATTATAAAACACGTAAAATTATAGAAAAATTACAAATTTGCATAAATCTTTAATGGAAAATTATTTTTTCAGGTAAACGGTAGTAAACGTACCCTATAAACGGTGATACAATTAAATTGGCAAAAAAAAGAGTTTCTTTTTTTTTGAAAATCTCATCAAATTTAATTATGCCATTTTCCCACATTGTTAAGTCGAACTTTAGAATGGAAGAGTAGTCTCTATCATGATAGGTCATATATAGATTTCTTGCTATCCAATCAATGCAGAGATCATACAGCCTATGATCAAAGCTAGCTATTTTTGTGATATTATTTTCAGTAATCTCCATTGTCATTAGATTATTATTATTGTATATCCAATAAATTTTATGTTCTTGTACACAGTAAGCGACATCTTGTATGTTAAATTGTTTAACAATATTATTAATAGTATTTAAATCTAAGTCCAATATGTGGATGCCAACATCCGTTACTAATAATAATTTAGGTATTGGATTTTCATGCGTAGTCGATACATCGATTAAATCCGAGTAAGGACCAGCAATAACTTCAGTATGTGCACGTACTCGGAAATAATATGTCGTATTAGGTTCAAGATTGTGCACCGTATGCTCCAATTTTGTAGTTGTGATATTTTTATCATCGCAGATTTGAATCTCTTTTAAATCCTCGATAAAAAAACATTGCACTGTATATCCTTGTATTATTTCATCGATAAATTCAGATTGATTCCATCTGTAAAAAAATAAAATTTTAGCCATTTTATATTTAACAAAATTATAACAGAATTAACATTTTGATATAGTTATGTCGTTGAATTTAAGAAAAAGAGAGAAAAATGAAAGAATACAAACTGAGAATTTAGATTCTTTACCTCAATGTCACAAAAATGTCGTTTATTTTTTTTGTGAATTGACTGTCGAATTGTACAAATGCTCTGAGAGATGTTGGCTTGTTCAAACTGCTTTCTAGAGATTTTAAGATCGTACATATTAATATAATTATTTTTTAATGTTAATGTTTCATGCATTTTTTGCAACTTACTAATAGATTCTGGAATTATAGAAATATTTGCAAGTGGAATTTTATCGACTTCTCGCTCATTTCTCACAGTCATACTATCAGAGTGACTCTGATCAGGTTTGAAATTTAATATATGATGATCACTTTTCTCGGACGTTGAAATATCCTTAACAAAGTATAACATACGAAAAGATTTAAATGAGTACCATTGGGGAAAAAATGCAGTTATTTCTGTGTTTTTAATGATAAATTATATAAATTATGAAACAAACAATTATCATTCGTTTCTTGTTTGATTAATAATATCCGTTTGATATATACCATTCTTAATTGATAATATGTGAAATCCCATGTAGTTTTATTTGTGTAGAATCTATTTTATATTCTTTTGTAGGACATTTTGTATATCAAACATGATTCATGATTCATATATCAAAAGGAAAATCATATAATAAAAGGTTAATAAGAGTCAATAAAGATTTATAACCGCAATATTTAGCAAATAATGCAAATGAATGTACAGCTTTTCCCACTTGTTGAAACAATTTTGCCTATCGATTTGATTCTTTCACGAGTTCACAGGTTAGTTAACTTTTCTCCAATTTTACCCTAACTCAAATTTCTTTTCAAAAATTTGTCCAATATCATTAAAATTTTACTTTGTACTTCAAGAATAAAAAGGTCAAAAATATTGTTTCTTTACAGTGTTAAATATTAGTCATAAAAATTATATAAATTCTTTTATTTATAATCATGTCAAATTTTTTCTATCGTTATACTTTTAATACAAACAAATCCTGGATAACATGATAATATAAACCGACAAGGATAAGTCTCGATAAGGATATAATGCACATAATTATATGTAAATAAATATATGTACAATGAAAATTAATATAAATTCTAAGTTGTAGCGATTGCTGCTGCATATATTGTCGATTAAAATATTAACATTACAGTTAATTTAAAGTTTTATTAGACGGATCGATTCTCGACTCTCTGTCTCGACATTTAGTAGTTTTATTCCATTATACAAGGTGTCCCATTTTAAAAGTTCCATCCTCAAAATTTTTCAATTTTGATTGTAGAAAAAAATGTTTCAGACAAAAGTTGTATGGTTTTAAGGGGCACATAAGACGGTGCTATTAGTTTGACCTTAAAGAATTACCTGAAGGTCACGTGAAGGTCACCTCCAACTTTTTAAGTGAGGCACCCTATGTGCTTTTACATATGTAGCTCATCTCGAGATCTTTCCAAAACACTATAATTAAATTAGTTTTCGTTAAGTACTTTCCGAATTATGAGGCTAAAATATTCATTTTTTGATTATCCTATCTTAATATTTTTATGTACAAAATAATGAGAAGAATCAATTGGTATAAAGAAAACACATAATTGTTTCGAAGAAAAAATATGTAATTTGCAATTAACAATTACATATTTTTTTTTAAAAATAACTGTGTGTTTTCTACACAATTGATTCCTCTCATTATTTTGTACATAAAAGTATTAAGATAAGATAATCGAAAAATGAATATTTCATAAGATATTTTACGGTTTATGTAAAATTAAGAAATTATTTCAAGCCTCATAACTCGGAAAGTTAGTAACTTAATGAAAACTGATTTAATTAGTTATAGCTATTATAGTGTTTTGAAAAGCTCTCGAGATGAGATATAAGAATATATAAAAATACATAGGGTGTCCCATTTAAAAAGTTGGAGGTGATCTTCACGTGACCTTCAGGTGACTCTTCAAGGTCAGACTAATGGCACCGTCTTATATGCTCCTTTAAACCATACAACTTTTTTCTGAAACATTTTTTTCTACAATCAAAATTAAAAAAGTTATGAGAGTGGAACTTTTATAATGGGACACCCTGTATAATTATTTTTAATACAAAGAAATGACGCTAATTTTCTAAATTATTTTCATAAAATGAAATCTAAATTAGTGTATATCTTATACTTTGTATCAACAAATGTTATTATAAATACCTAAAAAAATTATAAAATTTTAGTAATTGAAGAAAAATAACATAAAAAAATCTGTTCAAGTGTCATCATATGTATATATAAATGTAGGAGAAAGTAGATAGAATGCTTCATTAATTTTAAAAATTGTTATTTTTAGATAATAATAGTATATATATTCTTCTATCTCTCTCTCGGGGAGAGAAAGAGAGAGTAAAAGACAAAATAATACAATCAAGTTTTAATTTATCGTTTTAATATTATATTGTATAACATCTTTTCATAAACAAAATTTCCAAGCTTTATCTATTCTTTGTTTACAATGAATAAAATTTTCTTTTATTATTATATATAAAATTTCTTTTTACATCTTACTTTTATATTGAACAGTTTTATTTTTTATTATTATATATATAATGTATATAATTTATTATTATACATTTTTAGTTACACTATTAGGGCAATGACATTTAATTGTTTCTTAATCAAACGAAAAATATCTCTTACTTGTGTGAAATTTAAATCCGGACACATGAAAACGCATTCTTCCTTGAGGCTGTTTGCAGTGGTATAATCCTTTGGCATAAACGTAATAATTGCCTTTGTCAGTACTAAACTTTTCAATAAAACGCATAATATTGTTCCGAACATAATCTGCTTTTTTCGTAAATGTTTGCACTCAATCAGTTTCCGTCCTCAATTAGTTGTTTCTCTCACTCTACTTATAATTCATTCTGCTAATCGAGTTGATATTAATTTATATACACTACTCAAAAGAAAATAGGGAACACTTTTTGTATACCGAAAAATGGGCTATTTTCAAACGATTATAACTCAGCAAAAAATGATCGTACAAAAGTTTTAAAAAAAGCGTTTTGAAGCTCAAAGTTTCAACTTTAACGCACAATCGATAGTTTTTAAAGATCTTTTTATGTTTTCACTATCATGCCCTAAAAAAGGACACACCGTTTTTTTCCTTAAAATTACGTATTTTTAACGTTCTGTAGCTAGATAAGAAAAATTCTCTCGATAAATCCAACTCAATTTCCAAAAAGCATGACATTTTGTCTACAAAATGTTTTTTTTAAACTTTCCCACGATTTCTTTTGGCTGAGTTACATGACTTTGAAGCTAAACCTGTATTTTTCAGAGCAATTGTTCGTCGTTACTCGGCGAAAAATCATCGTACAACATTTTTAAAAATAGCATTTTCAAGCATGAAGCTTCAGCTTTAACGCGCTATCAATAATTTTAAAAAATTTCTTCATCTTTTTAGTCCTATGCCCTAAGAAAGAAACATTGTTTTTTCCTTAAAATTACACATATTCGACATTCTGCAGTTGCTGTAAAAAATTTTTTCTTAAAAAATTTAGATCGATCACCGTAAAAACAACTTTTTTTCTACCAAATTCTTTTTTTAAAATCATATTTACGATTTTTTTCGGCCGAATTACATGTCTTTAAAAATAACCTTAAATTTTATTAAAATATGACGTTTGCCGCCGGCATTAGCGTTACCCAATGTGCACCACGTGGAGGTTGCCGATCGGGTTTTGCACATCGCGCGTGCGCGCGCGCGCGCGCGCGTGCGTGCGTGTGCGTGTGTGTGCGTGCGTGCGTGTGTGTGTGTGTGTGTGTGTGTGTGTGTGTGTGTGTGTGTGTGTGTGTGCGCGCGTGCGTGCGCGTGCGTGCGTGCGTGCGTGCGTGCGTGCGTGCGTGCGTGCGTGCGTGCGTGCGTGCGTGCGTGCGTGCGTGTGTGTGTGTGTGTGTGTGTGTGTGTGTGTGTGTGTGTTTAGTATTGTGCATTGCCTCCTCTCTGCTCAATTACAACTTGTAATCGCTCTCGCATGTTTATGTATCTCCGAATTAATTCCTGCGGAATTTCGTTCCAAATTTGTTTCAAAATTTCCGCTAAGTCATTGAAATTTTGCGGCTATTGTTCTCGACGTCTTAATCGTCGTTCCATCTCGTCCCATATATGCTCGATTGAATTTAAGTCCGGGCTGTTTGCGGGATGATCCAGCAACGTAATGTTGTGTTCTTGAAGAAAATGGCGAATTATGTTCGCCATTTTCTTCAAGAACAGGTGTAGCTTCAAGTCATGTAACTCAGCCAAAAAAAATCGTAGGAAAGTTTAAAAAAAACATTTTGTAGAGAAAATGTCATGTTTTTTGGAAATTGAGTTGAATTTATCGAGAGAATTTTTCTTATCTAGCTATAGAGTGTCAAAAATACGTAATTTTAGGAGAAAAAACAGTTTATCCTTTTTCTAGGGCATAGTAGTGAAAACATAAAAAGATCTTTAAAAATTATCGATTGTACGTTAAAGTTGAAACTTTGAGCTTCAAAACGCTTTTTTAAAAACTTTTGTACAATCATTTTTCGCTGAGTTATAATCGTTTGAAAATAGTCCATTTTTCGGTATACAAAAAGTGTTCCCTATTTTCTTTTGAGTAGTATATATGTATATACATATATTTTCGATAAATTCTGGTTAATTCATATATATATATATATATATATATATATATATATATATATACATATACAGTGTGTCAGGGCAATCTCTTGCCAAAAAAAGTTCTTGTGACTTCCCTCGAGAGCTTTTCAAAATAAATAAAGTATTAGCACTATAATAAAGTATTTTTTCATTGACAAGGAAAGACACGGAAGTGTTCCCTTCCGATTTTGATGAGTTTTTAATATGTTGTTTTCTTAATTTTGTAAGTACATATAAATTTATAATTATATATTTTGTTTATTATTTTATATTTTATAATTATATATTTTCACAAGGATCGTTGAAAAAAATGTAGTCGACCAAACTAGCCAGAAATTTGTTTATTAATACGATGTTTGAAACTGAGTTTCTTGACGAAGTCTCAAACGGACGCATCAGTTTCTCTCAAATTCAAATCGAGTAAAAAAAAAATAACGTTTTTGTTAATGTGACTTGTGCAGTTTTGCAAGATTATCTTCTATGCCTGTCTCCTGATTATTATTGCATTGTATATACTTGATAAGGACCACAACCATATGGTCGAAACGTCGTATTAATAAACAAATTTCTGGCTAGTTTGGTCGACTACATTTTTTTCAACGATCCTTGTGATTTTTTTCTGTCTAGCGACATTATTTATTTTATTAATTTTATATATTTTCATTTCTATAATTACATATTTTATGTTTACTTATTTATTTAATTAATTTACATATTTAATATAGTTTTTAATAATTTATTAAAGTAGTTGTTTATATATCGTACGTTTCTTATATAAATATACACACATATTTTCTAATTAATTTGATTTATTTTAATATTTTTTTATTAATAAATTTTATTACATAATATTAAAAAATTTCATTTATTTTATTGCATGTTTTATTTTAATTTATTAATTCTTATATGTCTAGTAAAAATTGTTCAAATAAATAAATAAAAAGTAATATTGCATTTTATTCGAATTTATTATTGTAATGTGACGCCGAATCATTTTGACGTCAGGAATCATCGGGAACCATCGAGAATCAAAAATCTCAATCTGACCTGAAACCCGATAGTGCCGGAAGGTCTCAGTTCCCGTCATAGCAAGTAGTCTTTATCTTATCCCCACTTATCTCCACTTATGAGTTCGAATAATAACGAAAAAAATTTTGAAGAATTATCGTAGAAAAATTTTTAAAAATAAAATTTTTTTCTGTTATTGTTGTAAAGTACTTTTGAAGCCATTTAATTGAAGACTTTTAATTTAAAAATTTTTTTCTATCTCTAATAATTTCTGAAATATTCATCTCGAAGGAAAAAAATCATTTTTTGAGGATTTACCTTAGACACGCATATGGGTACGTATAAAAAAATACGTGCCCCTTATTTTTGTCTAGAAAACAACATATTAAAAACTCATTAAAATCGGAGGGGAACATTTCCGTGCTTTTCCTTGTAATAAAACCATCACATAAAGAACGAAGGCATGATATAATTTTTAAATTTTTAGAACGTATTTTATAATTTTTTAAACGTATTGAACGCAGCTGTTTATAAATTTTCAAACGCTACGTATGTTGTTATTTATTATCATTTTTCATGAAATGTATGTACAATTTATTGATTCAATAGTTATCACATTATAAGTAAGTGATTTAGCATAGGGGTTGGAATAAAAAATCATATCAATATTGATTATATTTAAATTAACAAAAAACAAAAAGATGTTGCCTACAATACATGGTGTTTCCAAGCAGTCACCCATTTAATGAAAAGGCATAAAAGTGTCCGCCTCCGATTTTAATGATATTTTAATATGTTGTTTTCTATTAATATGTTATTTTCTATACAAAAATTTCTATACAAAAGGGACACGTAATTTTTTATACGTGCCCATACACGTGTGTAGGGGGTAAAACACTCCTTTGAAAAAAATCGATGTTTTTCTTTCAAGATGAATATTTCAAAAACTATAAGAGATAGAAAAAAAGTTTCAAATTAAAAGTTAAATGGCTTCAAGAGTACTTTACAACAATAACAAAAAAAATTTAATTTTTTTAATTTGTCAAAATACTCCACAAGTAAATATATATTTTTTATTTTGAAATTTCTTTATTACCAAGAAAGGTTATTTTTTTACAAATCCAATCATATATGATTAAATTATGTATCGAAAAATCATTTTTCAGAATTAATTATAAACCTCCTTGTAATACGCGTCGAACTATTGAATCAATAAATTGTACATACGTTTCATGAAAAATGATAATAAATAATAACATACGTAGCGTTTGAAAATTTATAAACAGCTGCGTTCAATACGTTCGTGTCCGACCATCCGCTCGATTTTTCGCGCAACACATCCTTTTGTTTTTCTGTAATGAAAGACAACTAATACGGATACATTTATCTATGTAATCACGTTTTCTTTCGCATGCTAGCTAGTACAACATTGATATAACAAATCAAATTTATATTTAACCATTTGAGTGCCACGGACATTTGTAGAAACTCGATCGAAAAATGCCAAGCGGTGCGATAGTTCTTGTTTAATTCTGAGTCGAAAAAAGCCAAGCCATCAGCCTTGTTTATAACATTTAAAAATGTACACGTGTAGAGTATTATATTACTTCAATTTCGTCTTAATTTGCCTATGACTAAATGATAACAGTAAAGACACGCACCGACAAAAACTGAGCACTGTGAATTTACAGATTGATGCATTAGCACTTTTAAGCACTAGGCAAAAGAAGCGCGATCACGCAGCACAAAGGTTAATATGTGATAAGATATTAAAACGTTAAATATAGATAAGCTCAAAATGTATGCATGAAAAATGACGCTCTAAACTTGTTTAATTTAAGAATGAAATCACACGGTACGGAAGAGCGAATAGAGCGTGCGGAATAGAAAGTGCGTCATAGAGCAGCCAATCAGCGCTATTCCGTACGTTTCTGTGCTTTTTCATGTCGTCTGCGAGTGCACAGATTTGAAATACGTCCGTCGTGAAGATCATTTTAAAACGGAAAGAAAAGTTTATTATTAAAATAAATAGACATAGATAGTAGCAGCATGAGTGAACGACAATCTAGTGTAAATGAGTAAAAAATGTTCAGTATTTTATAAAAAATGCGAATTTTTGTAGATTTAATAATTTTTTATTTCTTGTATTCTGTGTTACAGTATTAGCAATGCATGCACTGTAATTTCAAGTTACCGAAAACAAATTTTAATCTGGTAGAACATTCATGTTTTGCTAATTTCGTTTGTCTTAATTTTACGATGATGCAGCATCGGACTTTTGAGATATATTTTCATTAAATACTTCATCGTTTCATGTACTATAAACTTCTTATTCATTATTTTGTTGAAAATTTATAATTAAAAATATAAAAGAGACAGAGGCTCTAAAATCAAAATTCGTTAGCAGATGCTAAGAAACATACATAAACACGCATTCCGCATCATGCACGATTTCAGTGTGCTCTGTTCACATAGTGCGTCATAGGTTTTTTGACGTATCCAATATAAATATAATTTAGAAAATAAAATTTATTTTTGTTTTGATTGATTGTCTTTATGACATATTATGTCTCCAATTGTATAAAAGATTATTTTCGTTACAATAGTTTATGTATTCTAATTAATTTTTTCAATTTTTAAAACGTATTTCAAATTTTTTTCAGTTTTTTAAGTCATTTTTACGTACCATGTGAACAGAGCATACCAAAGCGTACGTAATGTGTAATGCGGAATAACGCTGATTATGGCTGATCTCTGGATTATGACTACTTTCTATTTCGCACGTTCTATTCCGTGTGATTTCACCCTAAGATGGCACAAGATATAATAATAATAATATTAATAATAATAATAATAATAATAATAATAATAATATAATTTATATAATTATGTAATTGCATAACTATATGGAATGCGTGCTGTACTTATTTATTACACTTATTGTTTTACGTAGAAAAGGAATTAGTATCTTATCTATCACGAATCGTAGTTATTATTTTTCCATGGTTTGACGTTTGCAAAAAAAATTAGAAATTTAAAAAAATTTAAATTTGTTGGGAAACTGTAGGTTGGTAATAATACTCACAATTATTAACACAATTATTAACACGCATATTTTATTATTAGGCACTGTCTGAATTAATTATAAATATATAAACATGAATGAACAAAGGCTCTAACGTGCACTCGCGTGATTTGTCGCAGAAAGAAAAAGAACAGAAAGTATAGAAAGTAACTAGATTGGTAACAACAACAAAAATCAGTCTTTTCTCTAGCATTATATAATTTAAAGCTAAAGTAGACGTTATGATGCATTAAATAAAGTTATAATTTACTATTTGCAAGAAAATCTATAACATAATAATGATATTTTATATATTATACAAAATATGTCTCATACAAAAATTAAATTTATTTTAAAAGCAAGTTTCTCTTAATAAAAATAAAATGCGTTTTAATTTTATGGAAAAAATTTCTGTATAATATTTCTATAAATGTAAAATTGATTTTATGGTAAATATTATTTTATTTATTAATTACACACTCTTACAAATTGAATTGTTTCTAAGTACTTGACAAATTATAATTATTGATTTCATTTGATTTAATTTTGATTTTTTGTTTTGTAGAAAATACATTTTAGGAGAAAATTGTTTTTAATTTGTATTATTTTCTGAGTTTCTGAGGAATAAATATTTTTTACAACAACTCTTTGGCCCATACAAGTTGGCATATTTCTTATGTAGTGTATTTTTTATCTTTGTTACATATTTTTAATGGGATAAATAAATATATTGAAAAAAATTAATTTTCTTTTGTACACTATTCTGGGGTACTTTTATAACTTTTAATCACTTTAATATTTTTCTCATGTTACATTATTCCGCGTAACTCGTATAACCTCACTCATATATATAACGATCCATACGATTTTATTTCTTAAAGCGTTTGTACATTATAACGAATAATCAAACATGCGTGATGTGAACGCAACTTGAGGGACAAAATCACTTTCCCTCAATGCGCGTGAACATACATGAGTCTGAAAATTATGGAAAAGAATGAAAAATGTCACAATTCTGATATGCACCATTTCTCAAAAATGAAAAGTGTCACAATTCTGATATGCATCATTTCTCAAGATTGACTGCACTAATCTTATTCAAACTGGAAATTGAAAGCCAGTATTTACATTATATCATGAAAGTGTCGTTAGATTTTTTATTATGGCTTTAGTTTCTGAAATATCTTATCCAAATTTTGCTTAATATAAAATTCCGGATAAGCTACTTGGTGCTACTCCGGATAAACGTCGTAACCTCTGAACATAGCAAAACCATTGACAAGCCAAAAAGAATGTTTATGTACTTTTGCTTTCTCGTTGCCTGATTACCTGGGATAAGAATCTTATGCGATCTCTTAAAAGAAAACATAAAAAAACAACGCTAATTAATTCTTAATGTTTATTAATTTGCTAATTTTTAATCGATTAAATAAATTATTATTAATTATTTATTATGTTTAATATTATTATTTATTATAAAATTTAAAGCAAAGTAAAAAAATACTATTACTAAATTATCGATTATATAATGAGATCTTTATGATACATAATTATTATATTCGAAAGTATGCGGAAAAGAGCCACGTATTACATTATTACATTAGCATGGGTATATACATCTATATTAGTGTATCATTCTTGCGGATGTTACAAAAATTTGGAAGTCATCAGTCAAAATAATGTTAAAAATAATGTTAAAAACTTAAATTCTGGCTGCTTATTAATAAATAATATAATAAATAAAAAAAGTAGAAATAAAAAAAGTTTAATGATAAATAATAAATTATAAAAAATAGATATAAAATAGTAAAAGAAAACATAATAAGTAATAAAATAAAAAGTAAAAAAAGTTTAATAAAAAACAAACAAAAATCTAAAATAAATAATAACTAAATAAATAAAAAAAATAAAAAACAAAAAGCAAATAAAATTAAAAAAATATTAAGTAATAAAAAAAATATTTTACAAATATTTAATATTTAATAATAAAAACAAGCTTAGAAAAGTTGGAAATGATCTATTTGTAAATATTAATAGAATTAACTTCAAACTATTATTAAATAGTACATATAAATTTATATACTTCCTTTGATGTGTGTGTGTGTGTGTGTGTGTGTATGTGTGTGTGTGTGTCTGTGTATGTGTATGTGTGTACAAGTGTGCAAGTGAGTATAAATGCATAATATGTGCAAGTGTACAAGTGTGAATATAAATGTATAATATGTGCTTGTGTATTTACCGTAAGCATGATTTTATAAGTGTACGCAGTGTAATTGTACAAGTGTGAATGCGTGTGTTATGCGGCGTCTACAAGGAGACTACAGTCAAGTATTAAAAGAATACTCGACTGTGATTGATCAATTTCTTAAATCTTACGCCTTAAGTCTCCTTAAAGTCTCATTGTAGATGCCGCATAAGAAGGAGATAATGCTCATCGATCATGCACATCGCAAATATTAAAATGCATGCCGGTGTGATTACAATTGTCGGAAACAATTGTAATTAAAATTTTTAAAAATAATATCTTTTAAAATCTTTAAATGAACAAAGTATTTAAATGTAAAAAAGATAAAGTTGTTTTCTCTCACCTATATTGAAGAGAAAAACGATATAAAGAGTATAATAGATAATAAAAGAAGATTAAATATAGATTTTAAAGTTTTATTATATTCATAAATATAAAATTGCAAATTTTTATCGTATAATTTATATTGTACAAAGCCAATCTGTGAAAACATTAATTTATTTCGACGGTTCTTCGCAGTTCCTTGTACAGAGTGTTAAAAAAAACCCTGAGGTACTTCGCATGCGCATAGCTCTCAAACGTTTTTAGCTAGCAGTTTCTCCTCGTAAACACTAATAAACACGTGTTTTAGAGATACAAGGGCGTTGGCAATAAAGCACTAAGAGGAGAAACTGCAAGCTAAAAACGTTTGAAAGCTACGCGCATGCAACTCAGGATTTTTTTAAACATCCTGTATATTTCATGATCATATATGATTTATTAGTTTATTTAATTTTTCTTAAATAATTCTTCTTAAATAATAATTATAATAAATATAATAATAAAATTAAACAAATTATAAATTATTATAAATTATTTAAAAAAATTATAATAATAAGATTAAGAGCCAAGAAATTCAATACAATTATAACTCCAATAAGAAAAATATAATATCTCTCTTAGCGCATATATATAAATAACGATTAAAAAGGCGAAAAATTTCATTGGAAAATAACATTGGAATAAGACCATAAAATTATACATCTCAAGTGAAAAAAAATTGTCCAAAAATTCTTTCCAAAGAATTTGTTATACGTACCTGCTCCTATGGTGACTTTTTTGACCAATCAGGACGGAGATGTCTTTCTTATTCTGATAAATTAAATGTCAGGAATAATTTCTAGAGAAAGTGCATTTTTAATGGACCACGTGTAACATTTTGAACGAAGTAATAGACGCATATAATAGACGCAGTGTTACAAGTAGAAGTAAAATTTGTGCGCTTATATTTGTGATCAATTATATATATAAGTATATAAACGAAATTAGTGGTGCGAAAATAAATAATATCGGTTGCGAGCTGTTTTGTGAATTTTCGTTGAATTTTTTACGATGTCAACGATAACACATTTGC